GTAAGTTTGGTCAAGGAAGATATTTCAAAGGCAGGAAAGTAGCAGCTTTTTAGACTGGAAAGGACCAATGGAGAAGGGACAATTGATGTAAGGGCAGGAAAGGAGTGACTTCTTGTCGTCCTAAGCTGTAAAGAAGGAGAGGTGGAATCTAGTGCACGAGGAAAGATTGGACCCTTCCAAGAGCACAGCTGGTCCATTCACGATAGAGAAGAGCAGGCAAGACATGCCAGCTTCAATTATTCAGTCTACAGTGTGTGCAGGGAAGGGATGGCATTAATGACTATAAACGTAACTTTCAACTCAGAGAGGAAGGCAGTGAGGGTAGTAAAGCTATTAAAGGACAATGAAAGATTGAGATTTGTGCAGGTGAGTGATGGTTGGAGACTGATTAACTGAAAAAATTTAATAGGGTGATCAGGGAGATAATGCCTGGGGTTGAGACTCTGGGCTATCATTATTTTAAGTGGCAAGATCAACAGTATATTTGTTTATGAGTAGATGAGATTGGATCAATGTCCAAAGAAATATAAAAGAAGTGGTGAAGGATCCAGTGGGCTAGAAGATAAGCTACATGAACAATAATGTCCCCAAGAATGAAAATAAGATTAGTATGAGAGATGGAGAAAACACAAATGGAGAACATCTTCCAAAATGCAGAGGTGTGGTTTATGTACCAGAGGGTTGCCTTGCAGAGGATGATGAATTATATACAACCTCAGGGCTCAGGGGAGTGGGGTGAGGGTAGACTAAAGCTTAAAATGAACAGTGACACATCTCCCTGTCCATGTCTTAGTCCACTGGGGGAAAGAACCGGTCTCCACCTGAAAGTTTTCATGATTTCTGTGTGTCCTGGCCCCTTCCATCTCACCAGTCATTTCCATGATGATGATCTGGTTTTGCCTGTGTTTTAGGAATAGACTAATTTACTGCACTGCACATATCACCTTCTCATCCATCAAATCCTACTAATGATTTTCTACCTTCCTGGATCACACTGCTCAAATGTTCCCCACCTCACCAATTCACATCATCTCCATGCTTGAGCTTTTATATGTTTTCCACAGGATTTAGAAGGGCTGCCTATAGTACTCATTCAGAGCTTTATCATAACTTTATCTTATTTTACTGTCATTTTCTGTGTGCTGTCCTCACCAGACATTACATTTCTTGGATTGAACAACATTCAATTCATCTTTTTAACCCTGTCATCAGGCACCACCATTCATTCATCTGTCGGCTTGTCATATTTGTGGTGATTTGGGTGTTGCTGTGATGTTAGAAATTGTGCCATTAATATGTAAGATATCAAGGAGACCACCCGTAGTGACTAAATTTTGGAGTTTTCAGACTAAGAACAGACTGGGAAAGAGGACTAGGCAATCTTCTGCTGAAGGATTAGCCATGGAAACCTTATAAACAACACAGAATACTGTCTTGTACAGTGACAAAGTTGAACCCTTCACATTTGAAGGCATTCAAAGTGTGACTGAAAGAAGGGTTGTTTCCTCAAATTGGAGTTCACCTGTGTAATGTGGATGGAGCAGCATTTCTGAGACAGTCACTTTTTAAAGGAAACGAAATAGCTATAAACATCTATTAATAATCAGAATGTGTAATGTAAAAAGTATGGATTTAGGGAAAGTATTGTACAAGATGAAGTGGAAGGCATAAAGACCCATATTTTAGGCATTAGTGAGCTGCAATGGGCTGGCATTGGCCACTTTGAATCAGAAATGATTTACTCTGTCAGGAATGACTAATTCAAGGGGAATGACGTCACATTAGTCATCAACAAGAATATTTCAGGATCTATCTTGAAGTAAAATGCTGTGATAGGATAATGACTATATGCCTGTAACGAAGATCAGTTAATACAACTGCTATTCAAATTTACACACCACACACCAACCCCTGGAGCCAGTGATGAAGAAACTGAAAAATTCTACCAACGGTTTCAGTCTCAAACCAGTGTTTAGAATATGAAAGTTGGCAACAAAGAAGAAGGAGCAGGAGTTGGAAATCATGACCTTGGTGATAGACAGAAAGTTAGAGGGAGATCACATGATAGAATTCACAAGACCAACAATTTCCTTATAACAAATACGTTTTTCAACAACATCAATGGCAACTGTACCCTTGGACCCCACCAGATGGAATACACGAAGGTCGAATTGGCCATCTCCGAGGGAAGAGAAGATGGAGAAGCTCAGCATCGCCAGTTAGAACCAGACCTAGAGCTGAGTTTGCAACATGCCATCGATTGCTCATGTGTAAGTTCAGATCCAAGCTGAAGAAGCTTGAAACAAGCCCACAAGAGCCAAAATCCAACCTTGAGCGTCCGAATGATATTGAGGTCCCATCATGAGAAGAGATTGACTTGACACCTTGAACACTAATGATCAAAGACCTAACGAGTGATGGCGTGACACAGAGGGATCCATGGAAACAGCGGAGACACAGGAAAGAAAAAACATGGCCAAAGTGGATGTCAGAAGATTCCGAAACTTGTTTCTGAAAGGAGAGCAGCTAAAGCAAATGGAAGCAATGACGAAGTAAAAAGACTGTACAGAACGTTTCAAGGGGCAGCTGAAAGGACAAAGTCGGCCTTGAAAAGACTAGTTTTATGCATCTTCAATGTTTTTAACCCTTCTTTTCTCCAGAGAGGGGAAGACCAAATTGTACTTTAGATGGCTGCTCACACACTTTTGGGACCCTATTTGCTACTCGCTAAAGTAGACTGTAGAAGATGACCTTTGTGAACTGTACTTTGAGAATTGACCTGAGTGTTCTTACCACTGTGGTCCTGAGCCCAGAGGCTCAAATCCTCATTTCCTTCAGGTCTTGTTTTTATGACTAAGATATTTTCATAAATCCTCCTCCCCCTGTATGCATGGCTATCTTCATAGATATATTGACAGCATAGATAAATATATATGTAAGAATATCCTCTCAAGTCTATGTATATTTGGGGGTCTAATTCCAGTCTACTTTCCACACCCACCAGATCGTGGCTCCAGGCCCATTCAGCTTGTATATCTATCTACGCATCCACTCCTAGATAATTGTTATTGCAGGATTGTGTGTATCAGTATTTATCTCTGATGCCTTTAACTTCTTACTCCTCCCAATGTTGCTTTACTTCCTTATTATTGTACATGGCCTTCCTCTTTTACCCAAGTCAGTCTTGTCTACGCTCTGCTTAGTGAGTTAGCCTGTCTTTCCTTCCTAATCCTTGTAAACATTAAAGAATGTTCTTTTTTGTGTAAAATTCTTTTCTTGACTTTTACTACTAGTGGATTCAGCATGATTTCCTTCAGGCTATGAGATTTTTTACATATTTATTGTTATCTTTTAACATCGCATAGTATTCCATTGGATGTATGTATTATAGATTGCTTATTCATTCTTTTGTTGATGGGTATTTAGGTGGTTCCCCCCCTCCCTTTTTTTTTTTGTTGCTTTGGGAATAGTCCTGCTTTGAACATGATTTGTGTATGTCTATTAGTGTCACAGCTCTCTG